TTTCCTTGTTGATTTTCTGTCTCACTGATCTGTCCAATATCGACAGTGGAGTGTTAAAGTCTCCCACTATTATTGTACAGGAGTGTAAGTTTCTTTGTAGGTCATTAAGGACTTGCTTTATGTATCTGGGTGCTCCTGTATTGGGTACATATATAGTTAGGATAGTTAGTTCTTCTTGTTGTATTGATTCTTTTACCATTATGTAGTGTCCTTGTCTCTTTTAATCTTTGTTGGTTTAAAGTCCATTTTATCAGAGACTAGGATTGCTACCCCTGCTTTTTTTTGCTCTCCATTGGCTTGGTAAATCTTCTTCCATCCCTTTATTTTGAGTCTATGTATGTCTTTGCACATGAGATGGGTCTCCTGAATATAGCACACTGATGGTTCTTGGCTTTTTATCCAATTTGCCAGTCTGTGTCTTTTGATTAGGGCATTTAGTCCATTTACATTTATTGTTAGTATTATGTGTGAATTTGATCCTGCCATTTTATTGCTAGTTAGTTGTTTTGCCCTTTGGTTGGTATAATATCTTCGTTGCGTCATTGGTCTTTACCATTTGGTTCTTTTTTTGCAGTGGCTGGTACCGGTTTTTCCTTTCTGTGTTTAGTGCTTCCCTCAGGAGCTCTTGTAGGACAGGTCTGGTAGTGACAAAATCTCACAGCAATTGCTTGTCCATAAAGGATTTCATTTCTCCATCACCTATGGAGCTTAGTTTGGCTGGATGTGAAATTCTGGGTTGAAAGTTCTTTTCTTTAAGGATGTTGAATATTGGCGCTCACTATCTTCTGGCTTGTAGGGTTTCTGCCGAGAGATCTGCCATAAGTCTGATGTGCATCCCTTTGTAAGTGACCTGACCTTTCTCTCTGACTGCCTTAGTATTTTTTCCTTCGTTTCAATCCTGGTGAATCTAACGATTAAGTGCCTTGTGGTTGCTCTTCTAGAGGAGTCATTGTGGTGTTCTCTGTATCCTGTATTTGAATGTTGGCCTGCCTTGCAAGGTTAGGGAAGTTCTCCTGGATAATGTCCTGAAGAGTGTTTTCCAGCTTGGATTCATTTTCCCTGCCATCTTCTGGTACAGTGATCAAGCATAGATTAGGCCTTTTCACATAAAGACCTTGTCTTGTCTTCTTGTTTTCTTTCATTGAGTTGATTTTCGATCTCTGATATCCTTTCTTCTGCTTGATCTATTTGGCTATTGAAACTTGTGTATGCTTCATGAAGATCTTGTGCTGTGTTTTTCAGCTCCATCAAATCGTTTATGTTCTTCTAAAGCTGGTTATTCTAGTTAGCATTTTGTCTAACTTTTTTTCAAGGTTTTTAGTTTCTCTGCATTGGGTTAGAACATGTTTCTTTAACTCAGAGAAGTTTGTTATTATCCACCTTCTGAAGCCTGCTTCTGTCAGTTCATCAGATTCGTTCTCCGTCCAGCTTTGTTCCCTTGTTGGTGAGGAGTTGTGATCTCATGGTGGGGGAGAGGTGTTCTGGTTTTTGATGGTCTCATTCTTCTTGTGCTGGTTTTATCCCATCTCATTGGATTTATATAGTTTTGATCTCAGGTAGCTGCTTGGGGAGGAGGCCTTTCCTTTGTCTGCCTGCAGAGGCGCTGCTGGGCTGCCAAGGGTCCATTGGAGTATCTGCGTCTTTTATTTACTCATGAAAGTTAGGTCGGCTTCTGCAATGGTGGCTGCCCCTCCCCCTGTCGAGCTGGATGTTTTGAACATCCTATGCTCTCTAAATGTATACTGGTCTATATTTCTCTATTTTCAGACACATTTTATCTTACTACTTGCTACTCACATAGTAGTACAGTGTTGTATTTTTTTATTCAGGATGAAAGAATCTAATTTGCAGTCTTCAATTGTACATTTCTTGAACTAGTATCTTGATTATATTTCTAAGAAGGTAAATTATTTGAAAATTCAAACATTTGTTTAAGATTATTACATAAACAGAAGAATGTAGTTATTTGGATATATGTGTATATACTTTTGCATATTTAATGTAGCTGCTATATAATTAAAAACATAACTAGTAGGTCAAGCTTTTTAGAAACAAACTATTTTCCTAGAAATTGTTATGTGTGAAGTAATTAAAGACTATAAACTTTTAAAATCACGAAATACACCAACAAAATATATTTGTACATTGCTTATGATTTAAGTAAAATCCAAAAAATAGAAAATTCAGAGTGGCACTTTAATAAGAGAGCTTTGAAATAGAATTACTGAAATGTGAAAAAAGACTGTTTCTTTTAGACTCTTTATCTTGTAATTGCAAATTTCAAAGCAGAAGTCTTCAATTCATTTTACTGGTTGAAATGCATTCTTACTAATTAAGATGACTGGGTGCTGGGTAACCTGATTACCTTTCTGGATTTTATAAAGACCATGATCAGACATTGTAATTTGTATTTATTTCTGCCACAATTTTCTGCCATTATAGTTTCGAAGGCCCTTTCATGTTGAGTTTGTTTCTAAATAATTTAAAACTTCTCAAGACAGTTCAAAGCATTATTCAGTTAGAGGAATTGGGAACCTAATTTGCCATTCAGTATGAAATCCAAAGATTTCAGTCTTGTAAACTTTAAAGAAAGCATGGCCAGCTTTATTTTTGTTAATTGAAATTAAAAGTGCATTTTTCTTTATAGTTATGAATTAGGAAAGCAAGAGGTTATTCAGTAAGCAAAAAGTACATGGAGAAATTCTCAGGGTTGAAGTTTTATACTTACCATATATCTTTGTTTTAAGAAGAAAAGGAATATTAAATGTTTGTTTATTTTGATAATATACATAAGAACTAAAGTAAAAATATCAGTTTCAATTTTATGACCCATAAATAGCTATTTATATTTGATATATTTCTTTCCAATTGCTTTACTTTTACATTTTAAAAAACACATGAAACTATATTTTAAGGAAAACCCATACTACAAATGGCTACCTAGTTTTTTATTGTATACATGTATCCTAATTTATGCATATTTATTCTTTTATGCAAAGTTTCCTTTATGAAGCTTTTAGGTTTCTGATATTTTGTATTGCAGACAGTCCTGTAATTAACCTAATTGTTTGTAAACCTCTCTTCACATTTCAAATTATTTTCTTATGGCAAATCCTAAGGAGATTACTGATTCAATGACATAAGCATTTTAAAGCCTCTTAATAAAAATTATAGAATTGCTTTTTAGAAATTCATACTCTTTACTTGCCTAAGAGTGGTATGGAGAGTTTCTGGATGAGAAGGGATTTACTAGACAGAGTTCCTGAGTCCCCATGACTGTGGCGGAGGGGGGGTGCTGGAGCCCCTTGAGGTGCCAGGGTCACCAAAGGCCAGCCGGCTGCATTCCAGGTGGCATGCAACTGCCCTGCCCTTGTGCTCTGAGAAGTGATTTAAATGCCCAGCAGGTGTTGAAAATGGGTTAATGGATAGAGACATAAATGATGTTTAAATATTATGCTTGATAAAACAGTCAGGGAAAAGAATAAACTTCCATACCTGGAAGGAAATTAAGGAATTATATATGTTTTATTCAGATAACATTCTGGAACAGATAATTATGTCCTTACAAACAACAACATTTGAGAGTAAGGAACAGTTTATTTTTATTTTTACCTCTGTCTTTTTAAAAAAGAAATTAACTGTTTTTTGTATATTTTAATGGCCTATTTATCTTTTATTGTTGAAGTAGAAGAGATTTATTCTGGATACAAGTCTTCCAACAGATTTATTTATTAAAAATATATTCTTTTTGTTTATACTTTCCATTTTTTGTGTTTTTAGTGTTTGCTTTGAGCATAAGTTTTAAACATCCAACATTATGAAAAGGGCTTAATTTGTGTTAGAGCTTTCTGTAACACAAAGAAATCTGTGCTTCCAAAGAAATCTTTGATTACTTCCAGAAAGATTGGGAGGCCATTCTCCTATAATTTCTTCTTGAAGATTTATAATTTTAGCTTTTATGTGTAAATATGTGATTCATTTCAAATTAATTTTTGTGTATTGTGTAAGATATATATTCATTCATAGAAGACGCAGTTATCCAGTTTTTTTTTCCAGCACTATTTGTTGAATAAACTTTCATTTTCTGTAAAATTGCCTGGGTGCTTTTGCTTGGTACCTGGATTCTATCCTGTTTCATTGATTTGTTTATCTTTATTGCCAATATCACACTGTCTTAATTAATTGTACAGTAAGTCTTCAGTCTGGCAATATGAATCGCTTTGTTGTTCTAACAATGTTTTAATTATTCTAGGTCTTTTGGCATTTATATATAAGTTTTAGAATCTGTTATTATCCATAAAAATTAGAATTTTAATTGGAATTGAATTTAAATTGTAGATAATTTTGGGAGAAATTAGAATACTAACAATATCAATGTTCCAATCCATGAACATGAACATGGTATATTTCTCCATTTATTTAGATGTTTAATTTCCATCAGCAATGTTTTGTAGCTTTAGTGCAATTTTCAGGTTAGTGCACAACTTTTGTTAAATTTATTTCTAGGTAGTTAATATTTTTATGCTAAACGGTAATTTAAATTTTACATTTATTGCTAGTATGTAGAAATAACTATATGTGTGGCCACACACACACACACACACACACACACACACACACATATATTTGTTTATTGGCTCTGTCTTGTAACTTTGTTAAATTCACTTATTAGATCTAGCATAAGCTGGAGTGGAGTCGTGAGATCTCAGTTCACCACAATCTCCATCTCCCAGGTTCAAGCAATTCTCCTGCCTCAGTCTCCCGAGTAGCTGGGACTACAGGCACCTGCTACCACACCCAGCTAACTTTTTTGTATATTTAGTAGAGATGAGTTTTCACCATGTTGGCCAGGCTGCTCTCAATTCCTGATCTCAGGTGATCCGCCCGCCTTGGCCTCCCAAAGTGCTAGGATTATAGGCATGAGCCACCTCACCTGACCTCCAACTTTCTTAAGTAATAAGAACTAACTCCTTGCTCTCCTTTGACTCTTGTTTTTATAGGCAGCCCTGCAAGTTGGGGGCCACGGAGAGAGGCTACACCAGTGTCGAGAAGTCATGCTTTTAACTTACAAATCCATCCCCATGCAAGTGGATGGGGAGCCCTGCAGGTTGGCCCCAGCTATGATTCGGATCTCTCTGAGGAATCAGGCCAACATGGTACAGAAGAGCAAGAGGAGAACATCCATGCCTTTACTCAATGAGTGAGTCTGCTCATGGCCTACCTTGCTTAACATGAAGACCTTGGAGAGGAGAGCGCAGAGCATGTGCATGGTCTGGGAACCTCACTGTGCTGGGAAGAGGAGAAACGTCCAGGAGACTCAGCAGTTCCTTGGTTTCTCTCATGGGAACATATAGGTTTTTTTTTTTTTCTCCTTGTTTATTGTACAGTTCCACATCCTTCTTTTAGGAGTTATTACTGTTTGTGAGACAGATGATTCCTCTTCACTGACCACTTGAGAATGTATTTACTTGGACTAGCAGAAAATCATTGAGAGGGATCCTAGGGTGGTAAAATGTGTTCAGGTAAATGTGTTTTTGTTTGTTTTGTTTTAGGGAAGCACATAGTTAGCCTGTTCTTGACCCAGGTCGCTGGAAGACTGTTGGTTTCTCCCGTAGCGGGTGGTTGGCAGAGCTGCTGAGTGGTTTGCCTCTATCCCCATTGCATCTCTTTCTGGCTGCCAGTGAATTGTTCCCTTCCTGATGTTCCCATTTTGGGGTCCTCCCTACTCTGGTGCTTCAATTCAGTTTTGGCTCTCTGGGTAGCATCCTATTGTCCAGACTTAGCCTGACCCACTATTTCTACCTCTACACACATGGTATCCCTCCTGAAGTTTTCCTTTCTCGGGCATGTTAATAAACTGACTTGAGGTAAGGTAATATTGACTAGATATTAAGAATACATATTCATTTTATAGTGTGTCTCACTCCAACTAGTGAATAAGTGTCTGTTTGGGGTTGGAGAAGGGGCTGGAGAATGAAGGGAATTTTTGGCATCTTTGAGTATTTCCTATATATCATGCTGTATGCCTAAGGCCATTTCAGGGCTTAGCCTTTTGTCGTTCTCTGTCACAGTGAGGGACTCTCAAAGGTGCTCCTCCTGTTTGTGGCCTGTAATGCATGGTTACCTATTTGCACTGAGTGGCTGGCTTCCTTGTGGTGCCTGAAAAGCAAGGGCATGCTTTGCCATACATTTATTGAGTCAATATAACAGTATGCAGAGGTCCCTAGAACAGCCAGCAACACAGGTGCCCTCACTCACTACCAACAGTTACTTCTATCTCTCTCTGGTGACACATGTTGAGGAACAGCATTAGATAATGCTCTCAGAGTGTTCCAGCTTTTGGCATCTGGGACTCAGTTTGGAGCTGGGGTGAAAGATTCTTTCTGTCTGTTTCCCTCCCTTCCTCCCTCTTTTCCTCACTCTTTTCCTCCCTCTCTTCTTCCTCCTGCCCCCCTCCTCCTCCCCTCCTTCCTTCCTTCCTCCCTTCCCCCCTTCTCCCCTTTCCTCCTTCCTCCCTCCCTTTCTCCCTTCCTCCCTTTCTTCCTCCCTTCCTTCCCAGACTGGGCTTCCCCAGAATTTTTCCTAGATCATTTTCAAGATCTAGGAAAGCGATCTTTTAGTTATGTCTTTGTTTTCATTTTGAATTTAGTAAAACTCCTTGCTCATTCCTCATGCTGCCTGCCCTCCCTGCCTTTACCTTCTCTTAGGTTAAATACACAATTGCTGAGTTTATATATTAAAAAACACTGGATGTCAGTAGTTGTATATGGGTCATCAAATTCCCCCTAGAAATGTTAGAGTTAAGCCATGGACCATTGATTTGCTAGAAATCTATGAAATTCTAAGGGAAAAACCATCTCTGAAACTGTGCTATAGCCTATCTTGTTGGGTCACTTGTAGATAGTTTGTTAAGAAGATATGCAGAAGCTAAAAGTTTTGACTGTATATATAGGCAGAGAGCCCACAGTCTTAGTTAGGCCTGCTGCTTCTGTATTTAATAATCTTATTATACATGAAATGATTTTCAGGTATTTAAACAGCTTTTACCTTTGTGTTGAGAATTGGTATTTGCTCAGTAACCATATTGTTAAGAATTCATTTGGCTTTCTTCACCTATAGAAGCACATAAAAAGAATTGTTTTCTATTTATATTCATGGTACACATGTTATATGATGGCACTTCTTGTAGCACTTAATTGTGCAGATATTCAAGAAATAGCCTCAACATAAAAACGCTGTTACTGGCCGGGTGTGGTGGCTCACACCTGTCGTCCCAGCACTTTGGGAGGCCAAGATGGGCAGATCACTTGAGATTAGGAGTTTAGAATCAGCCTGGTAAACATGGCAAAACCCCTTCTCTACTATAAATATGAAAAATTAGCCAGGTGTAGTGGCATGCGCCTATAATCCCGGCTACTCAGGAGGCTGAGGCATGAGAATCTCTTGGACCCACAAGGCAGAGGTTACAGGGAGCCAAGATCTCACCACTGCCCTCCAGCCTGGGCAACAGAGTGAGACAAACAACAACAACAACAACAAGAACAAAGGACCCGAAAATTGTTACTTACTCTCTACCAGGGGACAGTGGTGCCTGCATCCAAGTCACCCCATGCCCTCTGAAAGACTTATGAGAAATGGGGATAATAGTATAATTTTTATTTTATTAATAAATATAAGACTTAAAAATAACAAAACTATTACTACTTGTGAAAAATCATCATTCAACACTATATTTTCAGAAAATCAATACAGGTAGCACATTTTCAAAAGAAGGCAAAAAACCCAGTCACCATGTAATACTTGCTCACTAAACCTTAATTGCTCTCATCCTGATCTTATTTACCTTCTATGATTAAATATTTCTTTCTATTTTACCAGAAAACCTTGTTTTGCAATCTCTATCTTCCACTAGATTTCCAAGTGGAGTTTCAAGCTCAAGGTCAGCGTTTCCTTTAAGACTTTTCTGTAAGTTTCTTCAACTTTCTGAGTCTTCAAGGCTTTCTCTGTTTTGGCCATCAATCGTGTGAAGGGCGCTGTTTTATCCAATGAAGAACGAGAAACTTGAAAGACATTTCATTTATTTCCTGCCTTCCTTTTTTTTTGCCTGTCTTCTCTTTTCTTTACTCAAGGAGAACTAGTTGAAAGTATCTTTAGAATTTTTAGTTAAAAAAATCTTTGTGTGTGTGTATGTGTGTGTGTGTCTGTGTCTGTGTATGTTTGCGCATGTCTGTGTGTATGTTTGTGTGTGTGTGTGTGTGTGTGTTCCCAATAAGAAGGTGGCCGTTTAATTCATCTTTAAAAATTAGGCTCCTTTCACACGGTATGTTAACTGAATATTCGAGACTTCAGTGCTGTGGCTGCCCTAACAGCTTATTCCTTTCCACTTAGATGCCAGTGCTCCTGGTGCTTCTGCCCTTTCTCTCTGAGATCTGTGTCTTCAGCCCAGTCTTTTCTTCTGAAAACTGGAGACTCATATTCAAAGATGTTAGTTGAGATTTTTACTTCAGTGTTTCACAGTAACCACAAACTGCATGCTAGAAACTGGGCTCATTAACTTCATTTCCTTTGCTTTTCCACCCCACCATCCAGTGAGCCCATTCCGTTCACAGGTGTACACATGAAACTACCATCCACTCATTCGTCCTGTTGCTGGCCTCTGGGGTTCTCTCAGTCACCTCTACTTCTACACATCTGTATTAGTCCATTTTTGCATTGCTGTGAAGAAATACCTGAGGCTGGGTAATTTATTTATTTATATTTATTTGTTTATCGAGACAGAATCTTGCACTTTGCCCAGGCTGGAGTGCCATGGTATCATCTCGGCTCTCTGCAAACTCTGCCTCCTGGTTTCAAGTGGTTCTCCTGCCTCAGCTTCAAGAGTAGCTGAGATTACAGGTGTGTGCCACCATGGCCAGCTAATTTTTGGTAGAGGCAGGGTTTCACCGTGTTGTCCTGGGTCTCAAAGTCCTGGGCTCAAGTGATCTGCCTGCCTCAGCCTTCCAAAATGCTGGGATTACAGGTGTGTCTGTAAATTCCAGCCTTCCAAAATGCTGGGATTACAGTCACTGCCCAGCCAAGGCTCGGTAATTTATAAAGAAAAGAGTTTTATTTGGTTCACAGTTATATAAGCTGTACAACCATGGGACAAACATCTGCTTGGCTTCTGGTGAGGCTTCAGGAAGTTTACAGTCAATGGCAGAAGGTGAATGGAGAGCTGGCATATCACATGGTGAGAGAGAGAGCAAGGGCAGAGGGAAGGCACCATACTCATTTAAACAACTGGTTCTCACAGGAACTCAGAGTGGGAGTTCCCTCATTACCTCAAGAAGGGCACCAGGTGTTTATGAGGGATCTGCCCCTATGAGCCAAACACTTCTGACCAGGCCCCACATACAACATCGGGGATTACATTTCAACATGAGATTTGGATGGGACACACATCCAAACCACATCAACATCCATCAGGCTAGCTGCCACATTCTTTGAACTCCATTTTCTATTTACTTCCCAAGTCTTTAACTCCCATCCCTTCCATCCTCTCTACTGGTAAAGCAGCCAGAGTTCAAAGGTTGTATGAGTTACCTCTCGGCAGCATTACTAAATTATGCTTCTGACTGCTTTCTTGTTCCCACCCTTGCTGCCTTCACATAATCTTTCTTCTGATAGACCAGTTAGATTGATCAAAGAATCTCAAGCCTGTGTGCCTTAGCTTTGCAGACCTTTTTGATCACTGCCTTCTTCATTCTCATCGCTTTTTCTTCCAAAGAAGATTGCGGTTTCTGGAACAGTAGCCTGTCTCTTACATCACCCTGGTTTTGCTCTCAGGTCCTCCTCTTTCAGTGGCCTCTGCACCTCTTTATCTTCTGCTAACTCTTGCTCACAGCTTAGGGCCCTAATGAAATGCTACTTTTCCTAAGAAGCCTTTTCTGTATACTTCTTGCTCTCAGATGTACCTTTACATGCTTCAGTGGTGCTCTTGGCTATTTCCATTACACTACTTACTAAAAATAGTGTAATCATTTATTTACTCCTCCCTTCTCTGCTCTGTGGGGAGGCCCCAGGATTTTTCTCTTAGGATCCCCAGTGTTCGTCATAGCTCCTGAGACACAGGAGACACATGTGAATGTTGCATCAGCGACTCACACATGAATCCATTCTGTAATGCTATCTCCGCTATGTTCCTCAGAAATAGCTTTCTAACATAAATCTAAAATTTCATGAATATAAAAATAATATCCAATGTGTTTTGATCACATTGTCTTATAAGTGAAAGATATATATTTAATAATTTCCAGCTATGGTCCACACGGATAGAAGGAATTTCCATGAGAAATAGTTAACCAATAGGCCTTCATGATGCCACTAGATCTTCATTTATGCAAAAGGAAAAAATAATGTTTTCTAAAAAATATTTCTTGGTGTATAATCCCATTTGCTATTACTCTATACAAGCTAAAAAGGCAGGTCCCACTGTGTTCAGAAGTTCCTCATTTGTGTGGGAGCGTATGCCATTTTATCGTGGCATAGGAATCTACACAAAGTAGGAGCTCCAGCAAATACTTTCCCCTTAAAAAGTAATAAGGAGGCTGGGTGCAGTGGCTCGCGCCTGTAATCCCAGCACTTTGGGAGGCTGAGGTGGGTGGATCACGAGGTCAAGAGATCGAGACCATCCTGGTCAACATGGTTGAAACCCCATCTCTAGTAAAAATACAAAAAATTAGCTGGGCATGGTGGCGCGTGCCTGTAATCCCAGCTACACAGGAGGCTGAGGCAGGAGAATTGCCTGAACCCACGAGGCAGAGGTTGCAGTGAGCTGAGATCACACCATTGCACTCCAGCCTGGGTAACAAGAGCGAAACTCCACCTCAAAAAAAAAAAAGTAATAAGGAGATTTATCTATGTTCATATTCATATACCAGTAACATGATAGCTAATACACTGGATTATATTCTTTATTTGAAAGGTGCCATTGAAGGAGATCAGAAAGTTAAAATTGCTCTGGTGTTTAGAGAGGTCTTCAATGAACTATCAATAGATACATAATATTATCCTTAGTTCACTAGTAATTAGGCCTACATTGTTAAAGATGATCATTTTGTCCAATGGCCAGATTTCTAGTCAGCAAGCTCTGAGCTGAGCAATTGGAATCCATCATCCTAGGCTGCTAAGAAGTATTATTGGTTGGAAATGATAGTCCTTGGAAGATAACACAGATGGAGAGAGTCTTGGGCTGGAGTTAACTCATGGGTGACTTTGTGTGAGAAGTCATGTATCCTGCAGCACAGAGAGATCGGGGGAGCTAGGTCTATTGCAGTTATAATGAAACTTTTTAAATAAGAGAGTGGAGAGAATAATTACGTAAAATCAACAGAACATTTTGATTTAGTTTGAGTTTAGTTTCTTAAATTATACATTTGTCTTTTGTAATAGCTAGAAAAGACAAACTCTATTATAAAAGGGACTCCTTTATAAAAGAAGGGAGAAAAGGGAGTAATCTATGGTGTTATTTTTTTCTACCCAGAATGTGGGTGTAATGACAGCATTACGGTCATAAAATTAGACTTTCTTGGTATTACCTTTGGAATTTCTAAAAATCCTTTGTTGTTTAATTGAAGGAAACTGAAGTTTTTGTTGAGACACTCTCTTTAAGATGATTGTCTTTTGATGAGTATTCCTATAAAGCCTGGGGAATCCTGAAGCTGTGTGATGAAAGGGTTAAATTGACCTTGAATCTTTACAAAGATGAGTTTACCATGCCAGCCTACCACTCAATATGTAAGTGCGTGCCTTCTCTCCTTGGGTGTCCTAATGGGCCTGAGCAAGGGAGGCCATGGTCATCACCCCTGACTCCCCCAACCTTCCCTCCCGCATCAACCCCAGCCTGGCCCTGCTCCAGTCTGTGACTTGCCTAGAACCAGCGCCTTCCATGTGTCCTGTTGGCTTCGTTGCTATCACCGGCTTTTTATGGATTATTTCTGTGGCTGGCTTGGTTTTCCTTTTCCTTTCCTTCGCTGTTTGGTGATGCGCTCATTTAATTTCTGTTTAAATTTTGTGTGTCTCTCTTTCTCTCCCCTGGCTTGTTCCTTGTCTGTCCACGCTGTCGCTGACTCTGTCTTCGCTGCTCATTCCCTGCTGCCTCTAGTATTCATCAGGTGCAAACTGCGGACCTGCGGCGAGTGTCTGCTCCCCCTGGCTCCTTCACCATGTGAGTACAGTGCTGTTCTGTTTCTACATTTTCTCCCCAACCTCATCTCCTCAGGGTTGGACTACCTGTGCCCCTTGCCTTCACAGGTCTGTTCCTCAGGTAAGGAAGCCACCTTACCAGAATTGCTTCCTGTTGCCCTCTTTGATTTGAAATGGAGCTGTGAAGTTTGTTATGTTCTGTGTGCTTCCATCCTCTAAGTTAACAGTGCGATTTTTAGATGAGATTCTTTAGATAAGACACTTTAATTTTTAGATGAGTTACAACCATGGGCCCATGGTTGCCTGGGGTTGTATAGTATTCCATACTAAGCATTGGTTTTTACGGAAAGTGCATGATACCATTAGACCATGTCATTACTTATGGCTCAGAGATGAGCTCCAGGAATTGCCTGCAGCCCTCAATTTCTGGATGGAACCTAAAGATTATGCGTGAAGTTTTGAGTGTGTGTATGTGCATATTTCTGCTTTGGAAGATATAGTTACAACAGTTCAATGACCCCAAACTGTCATTGAGATAGCAAATGTGTTTTTATGTATATTTAGGAGTTTTTGCTTAATGTAGTCCAGGGTATTATTTTTTTATAGTGATAACGAAAATTATGTTTTTAGCATTTCAGCTCAGAATTATTTTGTGTTGTCGACTCTACTTTGTCCTTTGTTTTCTCCATATCACATATGCTTGTCTAGCATTTATTAGGTTTCAGGGACTGTTAGAAATGCTTTACATATTAATTAATTTACTCTCCCAACAACCCTTGGCCATATGTGGTATAATTATCTCCATTCTATGCATGAGGAATCTGATAGACAGAGAGGTTAAGTAACTTGCCCAAGGTCACACAGTTAATAAATCATGGAGTGGGATTCAAACTCAGGCAGTCTGGCTTCAGAGTTCATGTTCTTAACAATTTATAGTCTGCTGCCTTTCGTCTCTCAGGATCCTGTATATTTCTCAAGGCCCACTTAAATGATTACCTTTCTGAAGAATTCTTCTTTGATTCTTGCCGTCAGAGTTAATTGCACCCTCATTGGAGTTTATCATTCATGTATCTATTGCTTCTCAAGGTTTAATTTGGTGTTAATTACATTAACTCTGTGTTTGTGTATTTTACACACTAGGCTTAGGCTATTTGAGATCATTGGCAATACCTTTGTATAAATCTTGTGTTCCCAGCTCTCTTCACAGATTTTAACATGAAGTATTCTGAAGTCAAACCATGGTTGATTGGTTTTCTTGCTGGAATGAACGCGTAAAAGAATACATGTCTAAATAGAATTGTACAATAGCTAACATCTGGTGATATGTATGACAAAGCTATTCCTAAAGTTCAGTTATATAATCTTGCTTTCAACTCTCATCTTATGGATACTAATTTATTTATTCATTAAAATATGTATTTATTCAAAAACCTTTATTTTGCTCTGGTTCTGTGTCAGACACTATTTTATGCTGTGTGTCTGACACTACCTTCCTGGAGCTTACACCTGAGCAGTCAAAGAATCAATAAGAAAATGACATTCAATTACCAATTTGAACATTGTGGAATTCTGTATTCTATATAGGCCAGTTCAATAAGTTCAAGTAATCATTATTTTTAGTGGCTCCATTCATTGTGACCAAAAAATTGAGAATGTTAACAGAGAAATGCCTATAATAATCATCTTGTTTCTTTCATAGGTTAAGTTTTGGTTGTATTTACACTTTAGTCATATATCTTAAATTGGACTGTTTATCTCCTATTTCACAAATGTGTGTGCTACGTACAGTAAAGTAAACTGGCATACGTGTTTCTGTAGGGTGCAGCAGGCACTAAATTGTGATTACTTTAAAACTTGAATGTTAATTTGAAAATATTTCATATCTAAATATGATATATATTCAATATTACATGTCAGATTTTCTACCTATAGATAAAACAATTGTATGATAAACATTAAATCACGATATTATTTTAAAAATCAGATAATAAAACTTTATGAAATATAGCAAGGAATGTAGAGAAAAGTTCAAGTACATCATGTGCTTTTTGTGTATTTTACATTATGGTAGTGACGATAGCCTTGATTTATCTCACACTAGTGTCTGCTGATTTTAGCAATGTTGAAAACACCATGGTAACATTGCTTTGAACCTGTGAAAGTTAGAAGCCCCAGTATCATGAAGCGAAATAATCTATATATATTTTGGGGAGGGGGGTTGCTATCTGATCAGCCATTCTCTGCACAGAACAATTCTTGTTTTACAGATGATTTTTTCTTTGGGAGAACCCTCTCTTATGCTGCTCTTGAAGCAATTGTTGCTTCCTTGAAGCAGCTTGAAGTAATCTTTTTTTTCTCTCTAGCTTTCAGATGACTTTTTCTCTTGGGATGGAGTACATGGTGGTAACAATGAAATGCATGACTTATTAGGAATTGCAGCATACTACTAATGTTTATGTATATGCAAAATTTCTGGTTTATTCAAAGAAAAATGAAATTTTATGTTTTGATCATATATGACAACATATGAATTGATGAATTTTAATCAATGGTATTTAGTGGTCTCATCCAATAGGACAAAACAAAACAAATAGAATATTTCCCCACAAATCTTGTACAGGGTAACTTAATGAATTAATAAATTCTTTATAATTGAGTGGCTTCATAAGGAAGTAAAGTCCTCATTGGAAGTCACATGTATGGACTACATTTTGTAAATCACGAATAGTCAGGCTAGATGCTACAACTGCAACTCCTACTCAGCTAATGCCAAAAGTATGAAATTGCAGAATGTGTCTTTCTAGAACTCTCTTAGCCTTTAGGAGCTACCTCTCATTAGTTCTGGTGCCCTCCTGCTCTGCCCCATCAGAATGAGATCATGTGTTTCATTTACACCTAATTTATTCATTGCTTTCATCTTTCAACAAACATTATTGAGCATTTACTTCAGTTGCTAGATACTCTGTGGGATATTGGAGATGCAGAGATGAGGAAACTAAGGTTTCTGCCCTGGAGAAATGAACACACCAGGAACAGACCCAGTTGTGTTGCCTATGACACAATTATGGTGCAATGTGACAAGCAACCAAGTAAAGATTCTGATTGTCCATCCATATGAATGATTTTATATTGGATGTTTGTTATATTAGCTTTTATTTTCAATATTTAAAGTTAACATACTACAAAATTGACTTTTCTGGTGTACAGTTTCACAAAGTTTAAGACATATAAAGATTCATATAACCACCACCATAGTCAGGATGTAGATCAATCTGTCACCCCCAAAAAAACTTCCTCATGATGTATCGCATTGTGGTCACACCCTCCCATCTCCCAGCCTTTAGCAACCACTGATCATTAGAGTTTCGTATTTTCAGGAATGCCATGTAAATGGAAGTATACAATATGTAGCCCATTGTAGCTGGCTTCTTTGACTAAACAGGACATCTCTGAGATTTATCCAAGTTGTTGCATATATCAATTATTTGTTCCTTTTTATTGCTGAGCTGTTTTTCATTGTATGGATGTTTTAGCTTGTTTACCCACTCCCCCATTGAAAGATATCTGGGTTATTCTTCCAGTTTGGGGTGATTATGAGTAGAGTTCCTATAAACATTGATGAACAGGTTTTATGTAAACATAGGTTTCCTGTCTCTAGGTTAAACACCTAGGAATGGGATTGCTGGGTCACATGGTAAGTGTATGTTCACCTTCGTAAGAAACTGACGAGCTGTTATTCAGAGTGGTCACACCATTTTACATTTCTATATATGATCATTCCAGTTGCTCCATCTCCCTATCAGCACTTATGTTTAACATTTTTGAATATTAATTATTGTAATAGGAGTAGAGTGGTATCACATCCATAGTTTTAATTTGCATTTCCCAAATGGCTAATGTTGAACATCTTTTTATGTGTTTATTTGCCACCCAGTGTATACTCTTGCGGGAAGCATATGTCCAAGTCTTTTGATCATTTTTTTTTTTTTGAGATGGAGTTTCGCTCTTGTTATCCAGGCTGGAGTGCAATGGTGCGATCTCGGCTCACCGCAACCTCCGCCTCCTGGGTTCAGGCAATTATCTTGCCTCAGCCTCCTGAGTAGCTGGGACTACAGGCACACGCCACCATGACCACCTAATTTTTTATATTTTTAGTAGAGATGGGTTTCACCTTGTTGACCAGGATGGTCTCAATCTGTTGACCTCGTGATCCACCCAACTCGGCCTCCCAAAGTGCTGGGATTACAGGCTTGAGCTACCGCGCCCGGCCCTTGATCATTTTTTAATTGGGCTGTTTGTTTTCTTTCTGTAAGTTTTGAGAGTTCATGTATTCTGGATCCAAGACCTTTGTGTGCTTTGCCGGCATTGTCTCCTCGTATATATCCTGTCTTTTCATTCGCTTGATGCTCTCTTTTGTAGAGTAAAACCTTTTGACAGAATCCAGATGATCATTTTTTTTCTTTATAGAGCTGTGGTTTTAGTATTATGTTAAAGTACTCTTTGCCTAATTCTAGATTGTGAATATTTTCTCCTTTGCTTTCCCCAAAAGTTTTAAAGGTTTTCTATTTTACATTTAGTTCTGTGATCTGTCATAAGTTTTTTTCTATAAGATGTACTGTTTAGCTTGAGGGTTAATGTTTTCACACATGAATGTCCAGTGCTTTCAGCACCATTTGTGAAAAGATTATCCTTTTCTGTTGAATTGCTTTTACAACTCTATCAAAGATCAATGGGATGTACATACAGTTATCCCTTAGTAGCCATAGGGGATTCTTTTCAGAGTGCCTTTGTGGATACCAAAATTCTCAGATGCTCAAGTCCCTCATACGGTAGTTGCATATAACTTATGTATATATTCTCATGTATTTTAAATCATCTCTAGATTCCTTATAACATCCAATACAGAACAAATGCTATGTAAATAGTTGGTATACTGTATTATTTGGAGAATTATGGCAAAATAAATAGTCTGTACATGTTCAATATGGACAAAACCATCCTTTTTTAAAAAATATTTTCAAT